TTGGTGTGTTTTGAGTTTAGGTGTATTTGCTGCCTCTGCATATGTATGTTTTGTAGATTGGTGATTTGTGTTAGTGATCTCTTGGGGTTTGGGTGTTGGTAACAAATGGGTTTTTCTTAGTGATCTGTTTGTATAGTGCTACTTCTTACCGTAATTGAAATTTTCCTTTCATGTTTATTTAGTTTTATTTACAATTCCATTTAACAGTTTTATTTAACGAGAAAAAGTAAATTAGAAGAAAAAAAAAGAGAATTTAATTGCGTTCATCAATTTTTTTCTATTTCTTCTTTTCTTTGCTTTTTTTTTCCACTTTAGCATTTCATCCATGAACAGGTCAGACGTAAGTTAGTAGTTAATGTGCTAACACTGTGAATCCGAAGGTTCATAGCTAGCGGCTTTGCCGCAAAATTGCGCTCCGTACTTTGGGTGCATTATAAGAGTGACGGTAAATACAACTATTCGGTAGACAAGAGTAGTCCAATAGATGGCGCTTTGTGTTGTTGGCTAGTTGTATTACTTATGGTCTATCAGTTAGAAAATAGGGATCATTCACGAAATCCCTAAACTTCTCGTAAAGAGTTGGTGGTTTACCTATGTGCTAAAAATACCATAACACAAAATAAGACAAACGTAATTGCGACCATAAGATATGTATATCGTTACTTTAACGTTGTATCTAAAAGCATGCTAAATCTATAAATGCCAGTGCATGCGCAGTACCAACATGTACGATGTAAATAAGGCTAATATAATGTTAACGACATAAAATGAAATGTTCAATGAACTAGTGCCACATATTATAGCACTTTCAGTCCCGAGATTTGTGAGACTCTAGATTGATGTAGCCTTCATTAATACCCAACAACATAACAGTTTCTAGATTTAAGGTTCTAATATATTATAAAAGCGGCTGAAGATAATATTCTTGGGCAACTTTTGTTATTTATATTATTAACAAGTCAACACTGTTTGCAAATTGCAATACATCCAATAAAGTTTTCAAATGAAAATGGTACTCTCTAAAGACATCATCCTTTTCTCTTTAGGTTTTAGTTTCGTTTAATCCTTGCGATAAAGAAATACTGGCCAAAAATAGGGCTCAAAAGGAAGTATTTAGACCACATAATCTGAATATCCTACTAGTGTTTTAATTTTATTCATATATTTGATGGTGAAATTTAGTATCGAATACGAGGAATAACGATTAACTGCTAATTTTAAGACTACGGCCCGAAATTAAGTATATACAAAAACGTTTTCTGAGTAATTTCAATTACATCTAACTGTCTGCAATCTTTCATAACAACCAGAATATATAAGAATCGTGACATGAATAGTACTTTATTAGTCTCAAAAGAACATCAATTCCAATTTGTCAGTGAAAAAAAAACTAGGAATTTCCGCCCATAAAAAAAGAAGTTAGATAATTCGAGACGAGCTTTTTAAATTAGATTTCAGTTTTACTAACTGATTAGGGCATTTTAGTGGTTTTAATACGCACAGATTAATGTTATGTCTAGCTAAAGAAATCATTTTCTGTCGGATTTTTAGATTGCTCCGAACTGTTCATCATAAATACCGAGGTAATAACATTAATTTTTATGTTTTGTAGTGACAAACTTAAGTAACGTAGCTTGAGCACCGAAATTATTCTAATCTGAATAAAGAATCGCATATATATATATATATATATATATACAGGGTGTGACAAAAGTAGGTATACAATAGTAATATTATTCGATGAGATTTAACGAGAATAAGGAATTGTGTCAGAAAGTGTGCAGAGTCACGAACACTTTCCAGAAATGTATCACCTGTGACAGCCACCAGTTTGAAAATAGCTTCTATACGTATTGTGAATAAATAAATAAATAGAGATAACTGTATACTTACTTTTTTCACACCCTGTGTTTAGAGCTGGCATTATGGTAATCATATTCTCATGTTGTAATTAGTGCTCACATCTGATAATGTAACTTTGATATATCTAATTTCGAACCACATTTTTATGTGTGTTTGATTGCCAAAGAAGCGGAAAAATAAGACAAACTCGATACAGTGATTGCATAACAGGATTTTTTTTTCTAAAAAGAAGAACTTGATTTTGAAATAAAAGATGCTCTTCCCTAGCCCTAGAAGTCTTAAGTTCGAATTCAAATTTATGCATGCTTTTGTTTTCTTATAGTAATGTGAACATTTAGCTTTTTTTATATTGATTTGTTTTCCTCTCTAGCATACTTAACAATTCCATAGTCAGCCTATGAAAATAAAACAGGTAACTAATAAACTGTATGATTTTTTGGTTTTCAATCTACAATACGTTCATAATGTTACTTTATGTATTAACTTTTTAATACATATATTAAATAGGATATAGGTATCGATAGTGAATTTACTTGAATAACCAGAATATTAATAACTATATAACTACATTCCATGTCGCTGAATTAGAAATAGAGAATACTAAAATATCTGATAATAAAATATATTTTGAAATTTATACATATAAACTGGCAATACGTACGTTGACAAGTTACAAATATGTTGGTCAAACGTCGAAAATTATGTTCAAAATGTAAAGAGTTCTCTAGCTTGCTTAGAGTATCCTTTGATCTCTGTAAGAAAATAAGCTATAAATATATATTTTATATTTTTGATTAACACAATTCCATTGAGTTTATATTAACGTTCTAATCAAGCTAATCTCGGGCATTTGGGACTTTATAACCCGAACAGCACCTTATTTGACACATGAGTTAAATGATCAAGTCAGAAATCCAAAGATAAATGAGGAATTGTGCTTGTTACTTAAGATTATTATTCCAAATGAGTATGTAATTTGACCTCATACTGGTCATAAAGGAAGTTAGGTATTAAGTTCGCATTATTAAAATATGAGGATAGATTTAGTAGTGCATATTAATCTTGTCGCCTTTAGTTTTATTAGGCTGTTTGTAGAAGTACGGAAAATAAAATCCAACTTAAATATATATATGTGTTGTACTTTTTATTGCCATGGTTTGTCTTTTATACCTCGTTTAATAATAATTATTTCCATCCAATTTCACTGAGACTGTTTTTTCAACGACCAGGAATTTGAATGTGAAAACATGGGGAATTTTAACATCTAAAAGTGCTTTTATATTCAAATAATGTTTTCAATATTATCACACACGTGAGGCTAAGGAATAAAGGTATAATCTGATACGCTGTGTATCTTCACTTCCTTGTACGACCAACATCTCCAGATGACTCTCTTACTAGGATTCCTACGGTCTTCTTTCTTCTATCCATCTACTTATAACCATTCTATCTAATCTAATTAAACTTTGTTGAAAGCTTCGACGAAGCCCACCTACGAGCAACATGGTTTCGTTAGTAGACGTCGAAAGATTTAGAGTCGACATAACCTACTATATAATAATATCTTCTATCTTTTATGTGAAATAAGATATTTAAAGTATAGTTCCTGTTAAAGTAAACATTATTTTCGACTCTTATACAGTTATGTCCTACTTTTCTTTATCCCTGTGTATCTTTAAGCTGCATTTTTAGTCTATAAGATTTATTTGTACATCGAATATTTTACCTAGAAAATACAGTGTTATATTTTATGTATTTATGAACTGTCTACGATAAACAATAAACCTGTCTCTTGTCAAAAGTAAATAAACAGCAACATAACAATTTCATTGGTATATTTTATAGTTTGTTTGTTTGAATTTCGCGCAAAGCTACACGAGGGTTATCTTCGCTAGCTGTCCCCAATTTAGCAGTGTAAGACTAGAGGGAAGGCAGCTAGTCATCACCACCCACCGCCAACTCTTGGGCTACTCTTTTACCAACAAATAGTTAGACTGACCATCACATTATAACGTCCCCACGGCTGAAAGAGCGAGCATGTTTGGTGTGAGGGAGATTCGAACACGCGACCCTCAGAATGCGAGTCGAGCGCCCTAACCACTTGGCCATGCCGGGCATATTTTAAAGATATCTTCGTTTGTTAGCAACATTGCAAGAATTTCTCTCTCTGTGTTTTTCTTTTTAATCGGATCCTTTTGGGATGTGAGGAATGTGCTTGTTATTTTTGTCATTCTCGCAGCCTTTTAACCAATATCTTTATCATAAACTTGACAATTAGTGGTTTCATCATCATGGTTATCTGTGCACTGGATACTGTCTAGTTCGCGGAAAATGTTTAAATATGAGAGTGAGACAAAAACAAAATACTTAAGAAGGAAATAAATGACGTAAATGTGCCGCGAAAATAAAATTGGCATAATAAATATCAAAGAGTAAACTAATAATGCCTCAGGACTGATGCCGCAAGAAATAAACAAACACGAAAAAAAATCTTGCTTATCTGAAAAAATAACAAAGAAAGAAGCGTTTGATTAAAGTTTTTAAAAGACATTTTTTTCAGTTTATAAAACTATAGCATCGTACCTATATAAATAAAAACTATTTTGACGTTTGTTGAAAAACAGGTAATTATTTGTTAACATAAATGAGTTTATTTCGTAAGCATTTCCTATCTCTTTTTCAAACTTTCGTTCTTATTAGTGACTTAAATTAGTATATTTTGGGAAGATAAGTTAATTATTAAGATCAACCATTATTGATTTTGAAGTCACTTTTCTTTAGTTTAAACAATGTTAAAATCAGAGTTTTTGCTACGTGTGAATTGGGAAAAAATTCCAAAACATCTTAAGTTTATGTCGTGTCTGTAATATAGGATTCAGGCGTTGGAGGCACGCGTTACTTTCGGCTATCATTTATTAGTTGTTATAGTGTGTCAACAGAGGGCGTAATCACAAAGGTAATATGTGAGTTCAAGGAGGCGTGTTCAGCTGGTTTCAAGCAGCAGCAGCAGAGACACATGTTGAATCAGATACTTCTTGGAGTAAGATCATTTTAGAATCATTCTTTCCAGGCTCAAAACGATTTTCTCAATCCATCATATAATAGAACCTAGTCAACATTGTTTACTTTTTGAGATGATGCCCACTTTAGATAACATAACAATTTCAATAGATAATTTTACAGATATAGGAGACATTCGTCTGCCACCAGCCTCAAAAGTCACTATAATTTCTCTCTCAGCACTTTTCTTTGTAATCGGATCAGTAGGTTTTGTAGGAAATGCTCTGGTCATCTTTGTTGTTCTCAGCGACAAACGTATGCGCAGCTCTGTAACCAATATTTTTATCATGAATCTGGCAGTCAGCGACTTCATCATCATGGTAGTCTGTGTTCCAGATATTGTCCAGTTCATGGAAAACGTTGGATGGAGGTTAGGTCTGAATTCTTGTCGACTCCTTCGTTTTACAGAAGTGTTTGCTCTGTATGCCTCGGTGATGACTCTTGTTGGGGTTTGTGTTGAACGGTGAGTAGAATGTTTAGGTAATTTAATTTCTGTAGTGCATATTGCGACCTTATAACACCAAAATTTGTTATTTTTCTTGTTTGATTGGACACTCAACGTTTCACTTTACAGCTTCTTCGGGAGCGTTCTACTAAAATACAGTGGAACACTCCTGAAGAAGCAATAGAATGATAGAGGGTGATTTAATACTAGTATTAGAACTTTTATGTACTTAATGAGAGAGATTGTTGAGAATGTATCACTAAGTAACAGAATAAAAAAATATCTACGTGTGTGTTTAAGCACTCCTGATACTCCAAGTACAAGGCGGTTTCATTTATTTGTTGTCCACCGAACTGTTCATAGGTTTAATCACAAGAATATTTGGCTTATTTATTGCTTAGCGTAATTTTACGTTAAATATTATGTATAATTATATTACAGCTTACTTACCTTATCTATAGTAGACTGTTAAAATTTACTTAACAATGCTAGATATTTTGTGTTTACTTATATACGTCTAACGATTAAGCTGCTTACGATTAAAAGAGTTGGTTCTCTCATACATTTCACAGCACCAATATTAAGTTCCTTGTCTTCTGGAAAGAATAACATAATTATGTTCATTTATTTCTTAATGTAAAGTTGTAAATTTCAAACGAAAACATTTGTGAGGCTAGAAAGTGGTAACTAAGTAAGGAAAGAAAATTTGTATTTCCCAGCATAGACTTGTGTAAATTATAACACGATTGATGTAGCAATATAAACACAAAAGTATGTTGTATAACAAAAAGAGACGTACGGTTTTCAATTTAAAACTGTGTTTATTTAAAATAAATGCATTGTTGAAGCCACTTTGTTATTATATTTATGAAAAAAAATAAACACAAAGATTGCGCATCAGCTGACATATTTGTGTTCTGTTTTGTTAGATTACAATGATTAGGTTTCTAGTTTATCTTGAACTCGTGTTGTAACCAGTTAAACTGTACACAAGTTGTGCTGTTTCTAATTCACTGTACACAAGTTGTGCTGTTTCTAATTCACAAATATACTTTTATTTTTTTTATTTTGGAACTTCTTTAACCCAAGCCAAGATATTTTCCTCTAAATACCATCGTTATTATTATTCACCGCACACTAATAATGAATAAATACCACACTTACGAAAGAGGCGCCCGGCATGACCGGGTGGTTAGGGCGCTCGACTCGCAATTTGAGGGTCGCGGGTTCGAATTCCCGTCACCCCAAACGTGCTCGCCTCTTTCAGCCGTGGAGGCGTTATAATGTTTCGGTCAATGGCACTATTCGTTGGTAAAAGAGTAGCCCAAGAGTTGGCGGTGGGTGGTGATGACTAGCTGCCTTCCCTCTAGTCTTACACTGCTAAATTAGGGACGGCTAGAGCAGATAGCCCTCGTGTAGCTTTGCGCGAAATTCAAAACGAACCAAACCAAACTTATGAGAGAGAGAGATTTCAAAATGTCCTACAAAGGAAGCGTGGTCAACTCAGAGTATGCTTTCTACTGAGATATGTCTACACTTAAAAAAGACATAAAGATAACTTCCTATTCATTGTGTTTTATTTGTCCAAAACAAGACTTAGAATATTCTACATTTCTCAACTTTTTTTTTATTTACAATGTAACGAATTTGTTATATATTTACTTTAATGACAACGTTTGTTTGGATTGAGTTTATATTTAAAAACGTGCCTAGCTTACAGTGTTAAT